CCCCACATGCTCTGATCAGAGTGTCTACAATCAGAATGGATCAGCACTGATCTAGAGGTCAGGTGACTTAATCTGCATTGATTCAACTCAATACTCAGAATTTCTTATAAAATTCACACCTAGTCAAGTCATTCATCTCAATAGATCAAATTTTAATGTATTTTATTAATGACATGAGTCTATTTTACTACATACAGTGCATATCAAAGAGGACAAGGAAGAGGGGATGGATGAGGGGGTAGGGACAAGGAAATGGGGAGGGACAGGGAAGGGGGTATAAGGAAATGGGGAGGGACAGGGAAGGGGGCAGGGAAAAGGAAGGGGGCAGAGACAATGAAATGGGGGAAGGGGGTAGGGACAAGGAAATGGGAAGGGACAGACAGGAAAGGGGGGAGGGAAAAGGGGGTACATGGAAATGGGGAGGGACAGGGAAGGGGGATGGGAGTACATGGAAATGGGGAGGGACAGGAAAGGGGGGCAGGAAAAGGAAGGGGGGCAGGAAAAGGAAGGGGGGCAGGAAAAGGAAGGGAGGGACAGGGAAGGGGGAGGGACAATGCACTTGTTGTCGTCGTGTGATGTCGCGGTGGCTGTTAGCGAGATGGGATAGGATGAAGGAGAGTCAGGGGACTCACCTTTGTGTGAACAACGAACGACGACGTCGTCATCGTCATTTGTCCGTCATCGTTCATCGTTTGGTTGCCACGTCGCTGACAGCAAGGTGGCACCTTGGTTTCCCATTGGCGGGGGCATGTCGTTGTGCGTTGACGTGGGCGTCCATTGGCATGGTCGTCATCCGTTGACATGGTGGTGGTCTGTTGGCGTGGGTGTCCATTGGCGTGTTCGTGTTGTCGTTGGCGTTGGCGTGTGTTGACGTGGCCATCCGTTGACATCGTGGGGCGTGTCGTGGTCTGTGGGTGTGGTCATGGTGGTCATCCCTCGCAGTCCGTTTTCGTCGCCTCGACCTCGCCGGGGCTCGTTTGCTTGCTGATGTGGCATTGCCGCGTTGTTGTTGACATGGTTGTTGTTGGCGGTCGACAATGTTTGTGGGCGGTGGTGGCCACAGGTGACCGTGGTGATGTGGCGTGGGTGGGTAGCGGGCGCGTGTTTATGAGGAGCAGGGACGTTGGTGGTGGTGGGAGGAGAGGTTGGTGGTGGTGGGAGGAGAGAGGGTTGTGTTTGGACAAGTGTGAAAGCCATTGCCAAACAATTGTTTGTTTGGCAATGGGCTTGTGCCAAACAAACAACAAACTGGATTCTGGCTGCATTCCGTTTTTGCCAATCCGGGGACCATTCCGGTCACAATTCCGGAATGCGGAAATTCCGCCGGAATGGTAAAGCACCGGAATGAAGAAAATAGCAGAACTCCCTGCCAAATTTCATTCCTCTGGAATCCACAGGAATGACCGGAATCCTGCAGGAATTAGGGGGGCACTAATAAGACCTCGGTGGATGACTGTAATTATAGTTTATTTATTTCTGACCGATGCCAAACAATGATTATTTGGCAACCTGCTGATACAAACACATGGCCACTCTTCTTCACCACCACCCACCATCACCACCAACACACCCATGGCGCTCACGTTGACCAGCAACAACCACGTTGACCACAAACCACGATCACGCCACGCTCTGGCGCTGACCAGCAACCACGACCACGTCGCCAATGAACCGAGTGTGGGGAGGTCCCGGCGACGCGGCAACATGTCGTCTGACAGCGACGACGTGGTAATGTCGTTGCTGTCCAGTTGTTTTTGGCCACCCAGGTGAGTAACCAGCCCCCTCACCCCTCATTCCTCACAATACAGGTGCCACGTCACCGCCAGTGACGTGGCAATCAAACTGACAACGACAACGACATGGCACCACCATCTGCGAGTGGTACCACCATCCACGACTGCCCACAACCCTCCAGACGACAACACAACCCTCCAGACGACAACAATGTGGCACCACCACAATCCACGACCACCACCATCAACCAACGGCGACCAGCACCCACAAACAACAGCCCACCGCCCACAAAACACACCCACCACCCACGAAAAACAACACCCACTGCCCACGGAACAACAACGCCCACGGAATGACAACCCAGCACCCATGACAACACTACCCCACCCCACGAAACAACGCCCAACAGACATGACACGATGCCCACCGCCCACGTTTACTGCCAGTGCCCACAAAACAATGCCCAGCACCCACAAAACAATGCCACGGACAACGATGGGATGATGTGTCCACGCCAACAACGACGACACCCACAAAGACGTGTTTACGCCAGACAATGGGACAACGTGTCCACGCCAGATGACGGGACGACGTGTCCATGCAAACGCAACCACGTCCACGCCTCCACACGACGACACGTTGTCCCTCCATTCACCCTTCCTCCCCCCTTCCTTACCCATCCACCCTTCCTCCTCCCTTCCTCCCCCTTTCCTTTTCCCTCCCCCTTCCTTCTCCCTCCCCCTTCCTTTCCCTTAATATATGCTTTATGTAGTACTATGTAGAATTATGTAGGACAATGTACCCCCTCCTTGTCCTGTATGTAGTAAAATGCATTTCCTGTTATTATGAAAGACATTAGAATTTGATCTTATAGGAAATTCTGAGTACTAAGTTATCAGGATAAGGTTGGAGTTGAAAAACACTTATTATGCTTGATTCCAGTCCTATTCCAGTGGAATTCCTGTGGATTCCACCAGAATTCCACTGGAATGACTGGATTCCTGCAGGAATAGGTGGGGCACTGTGAAGTACTGTGGGCAACTGCAGTCCATTTTCATGCTTCATATGCCTGCTGCTCAAGAGCTGGGGTTGGCCAAGCCAGAAACCCTTATCTTAGGATTGATCCTTACATGCAAGATCACTAGCAGTAATGATCTTGATATGCACTTCTATGTCGACCATGGGTGAACAGAAGTTGTTGATATTACCACGATACAGTGCTTAGTGGGCAGGTTTGAGGACAGAAAGGAGTGGGTAATAATTGACCATAGTGGAAACCTAGCACGAGCTAGCTTTAACATAGAGTGATTTAATAACTGGGTAAATACAAGCATAGTAATAATGGGATTGAAAGAGAAAAAGGGACTTTGTCTCTACAAACTTTATATTGAATGCCTCAGATTCTAATTTCTGTTTGAATTTTCTCTTGCAATACTCTGGTTTATAATTTGTATGGTATCCTTATGCCTTCTAGAATTGGTCCACACAATTTTTGGAAGGATAAGACTAAGTGCAAGAGCTTAATTTCTGTTTGAAGTCAGAAGTGAGCACATGGGATCATGGGATCATGGGACATTGACAGAAATGTATCTCACTCATTTGAATTTTCTCTTGCAGTACTCTGGTTTAAACATAGATCAATACCATCCCACTTTTGTTCCACTGCTTTTACTATTCTTGTCATCAACTTTTATAACCAGGGAACCATGGTATTTTAATCTGTTGAAGAAGAGGGATTTTAAGAACCATGGTAATTTAATCTGTTGAGCAAAGGGGGATTTTGACATGGTTCACAGGTTAAAATTCTAAAAAAAATATTACTTGGTGAAAGGATTTTTTTAACTTGTTAATCAGGGTCTAGTTTAACTGGTTATGTACCAGTACAGGTGTGATCTGTGAACCACATAAAAACTCCCTGTTTACCAAGTAATTGTAAATAACCTGGTCAGACTGAGCTGAAAATACCAGTTTTGACAAAACTAGGTATTTACTAGGTGAACAGGTGAAAATTTTTAATTACCAGTCAAACTGGGGAATTTAATCTGGTCTGGGGTGCATAGTGGGATCCCTTCCTTGCATCCCCACTTTCACTGCTCCGATTCCGGTCCTACCATCCCAGCCGATGCTGACCCACTTTGTTTCACAGGAAATGCCAAATCTCAACGACCTTTTCAAGACAGTGGAAAACTATGAAGGCATGATGATCGAATGTTCAGAACAACTCAAGGTATGTTTTTGCTGTTGTTATTCAAGGCTTGGTCACTTGGCATCTTGATTTTGCAAGGGGGTGCCAGGATTCAAAATAAGTACTGGATGTCAAAATTATTTTTAGTGGGACTTGGGCTGAACCAACCACCCAATGTAATCAGGCACACATCCATTTTAAGAAATATGATGTCATCCATGTGCCCAGCAGGCTGTGAAAACCCATTTTTTGAGCTCCCTGTCGAGCTTGAAATGAAGTTGACCATAAAACTCACTATTGGGATTGGGCTACTGAGCTGCCCACTACATTGAATTAAAGTAAATTACTTTATGGGCCTGCTGTTTTTGGGCAGCAAGCTCCAAGTTTGTTGTAGAGAAAGGTATTTCACAACATGTGATCTCAATTCCAAGTCCTATATTATCTTAGAGGTAGTTTTTGTCTTTTTTATATACAGATAGACCCAATATATTCAAGTTCATGCATTCTGGCAGTTATCTAAGCACTGTCCAAGCACTGTCCCATCGTTTTGCACTGAAATTTTGGTATGTCAAAAAAAATTAGCGGCCTGGCAGCCGAACCAACCAACCGGCCCCTGGTCTGGGATTTAAATCCCAGTACCCCCTTGTGATTTTGGTTGCCCCCCATGATGGGGTTCATGTTTGGTCATTATGAACCTTTTCTTCTGTTATGCTGTCCTTTTCCTCAATTTCACACCCCACTCTACTTTCCATCCTTCGCATTTCTCTGACTTTGAGGTGCAATGGCCATGTGCTTCACCTTGACATTCATCCCACACTCTGAGTCCCTAGATGCTCTGTTTCCCCCATCCCCTGCTTCTGCCCAGCCTTTGATACAATGTTTCTTGAGGCACAGGTCTTCACTCTTTGTCCCTTAGCTTTGATTGGATTACTTTCGTGATTCAGTGTTTATGGAGTTCAATTTCCATGCTTCATTTTTGCTCTACCCTTACCAGTACTGATGGTGCTCCCTTCAGTTGTTGAAAATCAGAAAGATTCCAAAAGGGACTTGTACAAGGAGATCATCTTCTCAAACACCATCCGGTCAATGCAGTCTGTTTCCCCCCATCTCATTGTATGTGTCTACGTAGGCTAACCAACATCGGACACAAAGGGCAATCCTCGAAGCCCTGCCACAATTTGACCTAACCCTCACACCACAAAATGACGCCCATTGCACAACCATCATGGCCCTCCCCATGCAAATTGAAGCAGATGTCCTCCAACGAGACGTTGTTGATGCCGTGTGCTCCCTCTGGCGTGACCCCTGCATCCAAGAAGCTGTGCATTGTTCCCAGGAGTTCCAGCTGAACAATTCAGCAGTGTACTACTTCAACTCGATCGACCGTCTGGCAGTTACGAATTACATCCCTACCAACCAGGATATCTTATGGAGCAGGGTGAAGACAACAGGAATTATGGAGACGACATTTAAAGTGGGGGAATTGATGTACAAGTTGTTTGATGTGGGTGGACAGAGGAGTGAGAGGAAGAAGTGGATACATTGTTTTGAGAATGTGATGGTGTCGCTGTTTTTGGTTAGTTTGAGTGAGTATGATCAGATGTTGTATGAGGATGAGAGTGTGGTATGTTTTCCCTTCCCTCTTCTTATTTCTCTTCTTGCCGCTCACACACCAATTTCTTTTTTGACAGAATCATATGCAAGAAGCACTAACCCTCTTTGACTCAATATGCAACTCCAGATGGTTTATCAAAACTTCAATTGTATGTTCCCCTCTCCCTCTCCCCTCCTCCCTCCTCCCACACTAACACCTTTAAAGATCCTATTCATCAACAAAATCAATTTCTTTGCCAACAATCTCCCCAGTCACCATTGGGTGATTACTTCCCAGACTCTACAGGTGGTGACAACTACAATGCAGTATGTGACACCTCTTGCACCACTTTGTTTCCCTCAACCAGAGCACGACTACGAAGCAGATTTATGTGCATTATGTGTGACGCAGCAGATCAAGTGTACATCCCCCCTTTTTGGGTGTTTTAAGGAAGATGACTGATGTGGATTTGGATGATAGTTGTGTTGAGTGCGATTCAGGATATATTACTTCAGCTCCATTTACATGAATGTGGGCTGCTGTAACTCAACTCAACTCTCACACCGACTTGTTGTGCTTGTTTTTTTCATTCTTCTGATTTACCCCCCAACCAAACACCCCTGCTATGATGATACCTACCCCTCTCCCTCACGTCCGTCTTCTTTGTATCAAACATGAACACCA